GAGTTGTATGAGCCCCCAATAAAATGATTTAAAAAAAAAGAAATTCTAAGCCAGCAAAGGTGACAAGTACCGCTATTATTTTGTGTACCACACAGAGGAGCACGCTGCTGGATAAGCCGTGAGAACCGTCGCTTGTAAGCCATCCCCTATTTTCAGAGAGGTGAAAAGCATGAAGGAGAAAAATGAACTGATGACCCCCAGCTCTGCTCATTTCCCTATGTGTGACCTACACCAGTGTCTCAGTTTGATCAGAAGGTTCCAGAGTTCATAATGGAACTGTGTAGCATCCTGTTGAGCGACCTAGTGAAAGAAAGAAAGAGCCTCTTGCAAGTCACTGAACCCTGACAGAGACTTGGCATTATTGACAGATGGTGATAAGGATGTCCACCTGGTAGGCTCATGGAGGGTATGAAAAGCTACTGTGTGTGCAAAGTGCTAAGAAGAGGGCCTGGAACTGTGGAAATGCTCAGGTTGGGAAGAAGGAGATAGTTTCATTACTGCTTTTATCTCTTTCTCTAACCCTTCTTGGAGGGACTGCACCCTAAACTGGAATTAGTTCTGAGACTATGTGGCAGTTACATAATCTTCTGTCAACTTGCGAAGGGGTAGAGTTTAGCCCGTCAGTCAGGTTGCAGCTTGATAACCTCATTTGGAGGCGCTGAGAAGATAAATAGCTCACTGGAGGCCAGACACACTCTCTCTGCTTCACATTCCTGTTGACAAACCACATGGAGCTACACTGATGGAGCCAGAGCCCTCGAGCTGAAGGAGCCACGTGGAGACTCACACCAGCGCTGAGATGCTTCCACCACCACTGAATCCACAAGACTTTCTACCCACTGGCTAGTTATTTTCCTGCATTCAGTGTCATTGCATGTGTTGCATGAATCTGCAGAGGAATTTACAGACTCGTATTGGATATATGGGCTAATATTGGACTTATGGACTTGATCTGGACTGGGCTGGGATATTTTCTTAATATACAATTGCTCCTTTCTATAAAGCTCTTTCTTACACACATATGAGTCGTCCTGGATTTGTTTCTCTAGTCTACTAACACAGACTAGTTCCAGTTTTCCAAAAATCCTTTTGTAACCTTGGACAGGCAAGTGACAATTTCCCTCACCCTCATTCCCTCATCTGTAATTGGTTCTCCAAGTCCCTACTAGTTCTATCTGCTGTGATTCTCCAACATCACACCCTAGCTCCCAGCCTGCCCCTCTCCTTCCAAGCTGGTCACCTTCCTGGGCTGTATCTGGGGACAGCATGGCATTACACAAAGAGACAGACACATTTAGGTATTAATCCTATCTTGCTGACAAGCCACAACACCTCTGGGTGTCTTTTTTTTT